TACATGGGAATGATTGTATGAAACACAGTGTGAATGAAGAATAGTGTGAAACACAATGTGAATGAGTTTGTAATCAAAATAATAATAATAAAGAATTCAGTGTCTTTGTTACTTATCTTCCCAGACAATTTCCCCTTTGCCTGTTCCTTACTGGTCTCTGCTGAAAAGAACTGAAGGCAATTCTTGGTACATAAAAAGAGAAATTTTTTTTTTCAATGTGTCCCTTACATCTCAATCTGCTCAGTTGTGAGTCGTGTTGTGAATGAAGCAAGTGGGTGGTGCAAATGGTTTACACACTGAAAGTTTGAGTCCACCTTGAGGTTCACAGAAGAAAGGCCTGACTCTCTTTCCAGATATGTGGGTCATGGGGGGGTCGGTATGCATAAGTCATATGCATGACTGATGCAATTGCTAGTGTTTGTGGGGTTTTTTTGGTTGTTATTATTATTTGAGGGGTTTCCATGCAACCGAGTCAGCTCAGGATGTTCTGTTCTGTTCAAAGAAAGAAAACATGAAATTATTTCTTAAAGTAACATGTTAAAATCTGGTGCTGTTTTAAACATGAAATAAATTAATAATGTAGTTTTAAAGAAAAATAAAACGGTGCATTAGTCGAAAAGAAAGTAAAGCATAATTTAAATTTTTGTGACTTGTAAAAAAAGTAAGGAACCTGTTTAAATACTTAATATACTTGAAAGGTTTTTTCTGTTTACTTCCACTGTGCTATACTTATTAAATATTGGGCTTCTGAGAGCAAACGTCTCAAATCCAAATTATTCCCTCCAAATGGTGTTTAGTACTCTTTTATTAATATTTCCTTCAAAAATATTAATTCCCTAGGAGGAGCTCTGATGGCTTAGTGGTAAGGAATTATGCTGCCAGCCAAAAATATTAATACACTAGATGTAGAAATACTTATAAAATAAATCCTCACATTGTGACTATTTCGGTTAGTTAAATTATCAGTATTATTTTACCACCATACTTTATCTCATCCTGAACATCATTTCTAACTACTTCATTATAGATTTCTAGATCTATAAGTATTAATTGTTCTTTTGAATACATATTCACCATTCTCAAACTCATTCATTGTCATGAATCAATTAATCATTCATCTAGTTGGAAGGCACTAGTAGATTCAAAGTGCTAGAGAGTCACAACCTTTGGGATAGTTTTGCAATTCCTTATGGACCATCTCATCAAAGCTCCCTACAATACCATCAATAAGAATATATTTAAAATTTTAAATTACTCTTAAAAGTTGATCACCTTTTTTGTAAATACCTGCTGAATATGCCTAAAATAGGGAGTGCTGGTGACATAGTACATTGTGTGTCAGACTGCAAAACAAAAGATTGGAGGTGTGAACCCACCAGTGTCCCTTTGGGAAAGGAATGAGCAGTCTTCCCATAAAGGTTTACGGCCTCAGAAACCCAATTGAGAGTTACCATGAGATAACACAATAGTTAAATGCTCAACTGCTAACAGAAAGGTCAGCAGTTCAAATCCAATAGCTGCTTCATGAGATAGAGAAGTGATACTCTGTCCCCATTTAAACTGATCATCAAAATACCCCATGGTACCAGACGACTCTGCTCTTATGAGTTGCTGTGTGTGAGAATCAACTCAGTGGCAGTGGGTTTGGAATATAATATTATTGGAAGTCATTGGTATCAAAAATCCATTTTCCAGTATTATTTTCTATTCTGGATTCCTCTTCAGTGTCATTCATAGTTTTCTCAAGCACGATTTAAGTGACTCCTCAGTCTTCACACCCAGAGCCTGCAGTTCTGAGAGATAGTATTGTTGAACCAACTTGATTGGTGTGATAAGGTAAATTATTTCACCTCAAGAATAAGGCAATAAAATAGTTATAGTCTGAATGAGAACAAAATTTAAAAAAAAAGAAGAAGAAGAAAGAAAAGCCAATAAGTGAATTGTTTTAGTATCAGAGAAAGGAAAGAAAAGGCCCAAAGTATAGAACCATCTCCTCTTCAAGTATTTTCTCATTAAGTGTCATAAGAAAAAAAAAAAAAAAAGATTGCTGGATTCTGTTAAGTACTGATTTCAAATTTATGATTAGTAAGTGTCACGCTACTCTTGAGAATTATTTCTCTCTTTCAAGTACTAAAAAATAGTACAAGTACTGACAAAGTATATTTTCTCTTCTACTCTTGCCCTGAAGATCTTTAAACATCATGATACAACTAATCATTTCATGGAAAAAAAAAACTGGTGTCATTCTTGAATTCGCCTTCATGGGAAGCACACTCTTCCTGAATATTCTCCTTTGATCTCTTCTTCATTGATGCTAGAATGCTGAAAGTTTCTCTTTTTTTGCTATCACTGTTTTTTAAGAAAAAAATTACTATATTCTGTTCCTTTTTGGATAATGTCTATTTAAGATTTTGTGGGTCATATTTCAACTTGATGATTTTAATAAACTCTCAACTTGTTAGTCTAGTTGAAGTTCCAGTTATTTTGAAAATCATTTTGAAACCATTTTCCCTCCTCATAACTCACCTGAAAATGTTTTTTCTTCGTGAAGTCAAACAGAGGAGAGTGTTGTATGAACTACAGAGAAGAAAATAAATGGCACCGAGTACAAAAAACTGGTCAGGAAAGACTTTGTTTTCTTTCTTGGCTTTTTAATTTATCCTCTTTCTTTGTGAGTTTGGAGAATATGCAAACCTCAGAGGAGAGGTCAGAATAACCAGACTGAGTCATTAGTCCCTGCTGGCCCAGCATTTAGCTCAATAAATAAGAGAACAAGTTCACTCCTTGCTTGGAAACCTGGCTGCAGACTTGCTAAGTGATTGATTTGATGCTAATTTTCTACACTGACTTCCCATGTCCTTCTGGTCCTCTCCTATGGGAGGGAACTTATTCCGCCTAGCTGCTAGAGTCCTATTTTAGGTTTTATTTTGAGTTCCAAACAGTTTGAAAGCCTTGTATCCCAGCAGAACTGGATGGCCAAGGAATCCTGATTTGTAGTGTCCTGAGTAACAGAACTTGCTCTAGGAAAACTGCTTTGGGTCGTAACTTAGAGTTTTCAGAATATTCCAAGGATAAAATTGAAAATTATGTGTTTGTGATATGTGCATAGCATTTCTCAAATCATAGTATTTCCTCATAGTTTTTTTTCTCTTGTCCTTTATATTACAATATTCATTGCCATCGAGTTGGAACCTACTCATAGATTTTCGGAGACTCAGATGGATGGAGATTACCCATCTTTCTCCCTCGGAGTCACCTGTGGATTCAAGCCACAGTAGAGGCAGCAGCAATAAGTGCAACTTTCCATAGACTATACCAACGGAGTTGTTCAGTTCTAGCTATTTAATATTGAAGAATGGAGCTCTGGTGGCACAGCTGATAGAGAGCTGCATTGCTCACCCAAAGACAGTGCCTCTCTGGAAGTCCAGATCCACGAGGAGAAAGATGGATAATCTCCTCCACAGTTTATAGCTTTGCAAACCCATTGAAACATCAGCCATGCATTGATTCAGATTCTGTAGCAGGGGACTTTCTCCCCTTTTTCATTGGGTTTTCTGTTTAGTTTTGGTTGTGTTTCCTGTCATCCATGAATTGAAGGGAAGGATGAAAATCACTGTAACAAAATCACCCTTTTAATAATAATACTAAGATATTTGCCTTTTTCACTCTTGTTCTCTTCTGAACATACAGTAATGTTTTTCAGAAGCTACTGAATGTATGATATGACAAAAGATTGAATGCAGGAGTGGATAGGAGACTCCAGCTGCATTCTATTAAACTAGAAAATAAAGATATTTGAAAAATGTAAAACAATGCCACTTTTCTCACTAAATGTTTTTGTTTTGAATATTATAGTTATTTCTTAATGAAAGTATGATATTATTTGTCAACATATAATGACTTCTTTACTTGTAATGAATAAGTCAGTATTTTTATAACTAGAAAAAAAAAACCCAAATAAACAAAATCACCCTAAAGTCACTCTAAAAGATCATCAACCTATTTTATCACAGTCTTGGGAGCTAAAAATCCAAACCAGGTTCTCAGCCCTGGCAATTGCTTCCTTGTCGGTAGCCTAGGAGTCCCGGAAGTTCTTTGCCTTCTCTGGTTATAGATAATACTTAGTGAGTCTGTGTCTCATGGTCTGTGTGTCACCAGATGGAATCTGCAGAAGTCATTAGAGTTAGGACCTGTTCTACTTTGTTGGAGTGGTTTGTTGTTTTTTTGTTGTTTTTTTTAAAATGTTTTTATTAATTATCATGTAATAATACCCTTACAGTATGTTTCATTCATATACATTGTGGGATTTTGCTTATTTTATTTTTTTAATTTTATACTGATTTATTTACAACGTTTGAATATGTTGGTTTTCACAAAATATCCCCCCCCCATTTCCTTCACTCCCCATCAGGTTGTGCCACTTATGATTAACACCCACCTACCCACCCTCCCACCTCCCATCTCCCACCCCTCCCATCCTCACCCCTCTGCTTCCACCCTCCCCTCCCCCATGGATCCTCAAATCTATTCTACTTTGATATAATCTAATCAACATCTAATCAACCTAACAAAGAAAGCATTCCCAGGCACAAGGACCAAGAGGACATGTCATATGTTTGGATAACACCGTTTAATCCATAACAATGTGATACAGGGAATTATTTGCAAAAATAAAGTGAGGATTGTGGCATGTAAAAAAATGTACTACTGAATTACATGGTTGAGGAGCAACTGTCTAAAAGCAAGAAGTTTATACTTTTAAAAAATGCCTTTCTTTATAACCCTCAGGCAATTGGCTGTGCCTCTCTGACCCTACAGTTGGAAACTGGAAAACCAGGGCTTCAGCTCTTTTCATTTTCTAATAAGAATGAAAAAACTTTGTTTGGAAGACATTCTAACTCAAGGTTTTTGTTTGTGGGTTTTTTTGGTGTATTTTTTAAAAATTAATTTAGAATCTCTCATGATAGACTAACGGTTTTTCCTCTCACTTTGTTTTGCAGGACCCGAAGTTACGTGAACTTTTGGATGTGGGGAACATAGGTCGTTTAGAGCAGCGCATGATCACGGTGGTGTATGGACCAGACTTGGTGAACATCTCCCATTTGAATCTTGTGGCTTTTCAAGAAGAAGTGGCCAAGGTACGGACAGGATCTCAGGAAGCGCGTCACATGGATCTGAATTCCTGTCATCTAGTACTAAACCGTGTGAAAGACTTGAAGGTTTTGCCATATTTAACATGCTTTATCACTTGGTCTAAAATAATTCTGCTGCCAAATATGAGTGTATTTAAACAATTCTAAATAAGACATCCATTTAGATATGTGATGATTTTTCAATTTGTATTAAGGAAACTGGAGTGGCTTCCACTTCCTAAACAACATGCCTCTGTAAACTCTGTGAACTTTGAAAACAACAATAGTTATAGAAATGCCTTCAGGTCTTTTGTCCAGAAAGTCACTATGAGTCATGCTTGACTTGACAGTAGTCAACAACAAAAATAAGGCTTAGATAAAATTTCTTTGGAAGGAAAACATAGAAATGCTATATTCCATTTCACCTAAATATCTTATTATAAATTACTTTCTTTTAGCATTATTCCTAAATCACTTCCAACATCTCCATCCCAACTCTGTCCTTAGTATTGTTGTTAGGTGCTGTCATGTCAACTGTGGCTTATAACAACTCAATGAACAACTGCTCCTATTATCTGTTCTACAAAGATTAATATCAGATTAGTTACTAAAAGGTGAAGGTCAAAAGCTTCAATAGTTTAATCTGCTAGAAGGTGTAATCTAATTGGTCATTTTGGGTTAATTAACAATGATTTGTGGGCTGGAAGCCTCTTGTTTAAGCCAATCAGGACCTGGTGGGTGGCCTTTGTAATGAAAAGTGAGTTGGATCCTGTCCAAGAGTTTTCTGTCTGAAGCAGTCAGATTTTGGAATGTATAAGCTAATTGGTCGTTTTGATTTAATTAACCAAAAGTTATGGGCTGGAAGCCTCTTGTTTAAACCCATCAGGACTCAGGGGGCAGACCTTTGTAATTAAAAGTCAATTGGGCCCTTTAGCCTTGGCCCTCAGTCCTTGTGTGAAGACTTGAGTTGCTATTAGAGATATAAACTAAATTGGTACTTTGCTGTGTTTGTGTGTTCTTCTAATTGGTACAGCACTTGTCTGTCAGTTTGCCGTACTAAGATGACTTTGGGTTGCTGTGATACTGAAATCTGTGCCATTTGTGTGTCAAATGCCATATGATGATCAGGTTTTAGTAGAGCTCCCAGATTAAGACAGACTAGGAAGCAGGATTGGCCATTACTTCTTAAATAATAGTCCTTTGAAAACCCTATGAGCACAGTGACTGCTGCAGTGGGCTCTAGTATGTTCGGAAGTGTCAATATGGCATAGGATAGGACACAGTTTGGATCCACTGTTTATAGGTTTCCTATGAGTCATACTTGACTCAATAGCACATAACAACAGCAATTGCTCCATAATTTCCAACTCTAATAGTCCTCTTCTGTTCAGTTCCTCCCCTATCATCTGTATCTTTTGGGCTCTGTGGTTTGCTGAAGGGTATCACAGTGAAAGACATATCCCATCAGGAAATGGCACATGTGACTGTAGGTGGTGTAGCCCAGTGTTGCAGAGACTGGTAAGCAATACGCGAGCAGACTGTAATTGAAGTGCAGCTAGATGTCATGTCCCAAGAGAGTGAACACTCCAAGATAGTGAGCCTTGAACTTCCATGAGCTTATCCACACCTCTTGCATTTTCATTGCTGTTGTGTGTCATCTAGTAGGAACCAGCTCACAGCTGACCCTTCAGTGGGTTTCCAAAGGAAACCAGTGGAACCACCAGTGGATTCGACCTGCATATCTTTAGGACTACACACTAATCGTTTCTCCTTAAAACAGTAGAGCCAAGGCCAACCCCTGGCTCTTCCAACCATTGGTCCTTTATTTATAATGCAGCAACAGATCAAAACCTCGACCTCTCCTGTGCCATCTTCATGCTGTCAGCCATGCTCAAGCCCATTGTTGCAGTCACCATGTCAGTCCATTTCACTGAAGGTCTTCATCTTCTTCTCCCATCTTCTACTTTTCCTTGAAGATACATATATCCAGTACTCATTTTCATTCATTTTCCTGCTGAGCAACACTCAGTCTACATCCATGGACATAGCAGTTATTCAATCAACATGTGAAGGAATGAAATAAGTAATTTACATATTTATTCATTTATAGAGTACCTGATCACGCTTATCAAAGAACTGGTATTCTCTTCTTAGTAGCGTTTTGAAAATATACTTTTGAAATGCACACAGAAATAATTGGAATATACTGTTTCTCAAAGAAGTAGAAATTTACAAAGAATCATAAAGTCAAACATGGTTTAAAATTAGGAAGAGTGTGTGTCATGGTTAAATTCTTTCTCTGTTCAATCTGTATGAAAAATCATTTGTGAAGATGGACTCTATGGTGAAGAATGTGATATTGGGATCATAGGAAGACTTAGAAGGTATTATGGTGATGACACAATCTTGGTTAAAGTGCGGAAGATCTAAAGCACTTACTGTAGAAGGCCAATAACTAACTACATATTTCAATATAGACTATACCTAAACATCAAGGAAACATAGGCCTTACCATGGGATCAGTAGGAAACATCATGATAGATGGAGATAGGATTGAAGCTGTCAATAATTTCATATTACTTGCAACCACAATCAGCACCCTTGGTTCCAGCATTCTGGAAATCAGGGAATGTATTGCTTTGGGCAAGTTGGCAGTTAAGAACCTCTACAAAATACTGAAGAACAATGATGCATTGTGAAGACTAAGGTGCATCTGATTCAAGCCATGGTCTTTTCCGTCACTTGATAATTATCTGAGAGGTGGACAATGAATAAGGATGAGAAAAGAAGTTGATGTCTTTGAACTGTGATGTTTGAGAAGAACACCACCAAAAGTATAAATGTATTGGTCTTGGAAAAAGTGCATCAAGAGAAATCCTTGAGGATAAGAGTGGTGAAGCTTTGTCTCTCATAATTTGGACACATTGCAATGAGATGCTATTCCTTGGGAAGGGATATCATGCTTTGAAAGATGGAGAGTCAGTGAAAGAGAAGACCCCACTTCAGTGGATTGTCACAGTCACTGCAGCAATGGACTCAAGCATAAAAGAAATGATAAGTATTGCAAAGGATTCAGATCTGTTTTTCATAGGGTTGCAATGAGTCATACTCAACTGAATGGCCCTTAAGAACATTAGCAATGTTGAGCCAACTGTGATCCTTTGTCTCAGTATCCAATTATCATGAAAAGAATTTAGAAATGTAATATGCATTATGTGGGAGATTTTTGCAAGTTTATTGTTTATAGGGTGCTATTGGGAGCTTGGGTGGCTTATTAGTAAGGAATTGTTCTGTGATTTCCAAGGCACGGGACTGAAATCCACCAGTTTATCCATGAGATAAAGATGAATAATCTCCTCTGAAAACCCTCTAGAGGGTCTTCACAGTTCCAACTCCACAGAACATAGCAAGAATAACTAATGATCCTTAACTTTCAAATAATTTACTCCAAGAGCTAAGAATAAGAATATTTTGAAGCCCGAATGCCATATATGTCCTCATATGAAGTTTTTCATGCGATGGGTTTCAATACTGGTTCATGTCACATCAGGGAATGGTGTCTGCATGTGACCAGTAATTGAGCAAACCGTCAGTTTGTTCTCCAGTTTCTGAGCTGTTCTGGATACATTGATCCAGCGTGTTTTGTTTTGTTTTTTGTTGTTTTTTTTTTCTTTTGTTTTTTTTTAGTGACTGTGGTTCATGTCCAGCATTTATAAAGCATGATATCCTCTTCAACTCTTATACTGGAGTGAATAAAATGCCAATCACTTTTAGCACTCCGAGATCTTTAGAAATGCCCTTCCAAGAATATGTTACAAACATAATCTGATTTCTTCCTTAGAACCAAGCTACCCATTTTGAATCCTATAGAATAATTCACTCCTGGGAAGATTTCAGATCAGTGAGACATTGTGTGTAAGCACTGTATTTGCCTTTCAAAGAGCTCACAGGTATCCTTTTGGCAACCTTGTGACTTGTATACAGTTCACTTCTCAGCAAATGGATAGATGATTGGATGGAATGACCACTATAGATAACCAAAAGCCATCTTTTAGGAAGAGATTTAGAAAATACCTTTACTTGAATGTAACCATATCCTCTAAAGACTCATGAGAGTAACTTAAGTATTTGAAAAACCCAACCCAAAACCTTTTGATAAATGGCAGTGACTTTCAAGGAGGCTTATACTAAAAGTAAATATCAATTTTAAATTACAAATTTCAAACAAATCTGCATAACTTATAATGCACTAAACCTTTATACAGTTATGTTTAAAACATACACAATTTCTTCCTCTCTGCGGATTCCCACCCATTAATTTTCCTTAGGGCTTTTGATAACGGAGCCCTGTAATAGTCCCCATCAGAACTGCATTTACAGAGCTTTTTTTCCCAGCTGCTAGTTGATATTCATGGAAGATCTAATAAAGCTACAGAATATGTTCTGGATCCCTGGCTGTGATAGTCTGTAGGGATGATGCACCCTCACCCACACCCTTACACACTCTAAAATAGCTCAGTAGGTGGCTAAGACTTGCAAATGACATTTTGCTCTGAAAACTAACTTTGTACATTTCCAAGTGTCATTCCTCTCTCATTGTATTGCACTCCCTCTTTCTGTGAGGTCCATGTACTTCATCCTTTGCAAAATAGAAACAGGTTCTCTCATTGTGTGGAATGCCTGCTGTGCCAGGTACCTCACTTTCTTTGAAAGCAAAATATGTTTTCTGAAGTTGTTTACAATTGCAGCCCAGCACACTGTTGTTGGCTGCCAGCCACAGTCCCATGTGAGGAATACAACAATGAACCAAATCAAGTCATTTCCTCCAAGCATCAACATTCTAGTAGAAATACCCATGTACATAATGATTAAATGCTCCATGTATCTCATGTCTGATGGAACCCTGAGTGGAGGAATAAAGCAGGAAAGAGAGGTGGGAAAAGAGGAGTCCATTATGCTGGCATGGCTTAAGTAAGCCAAATTTAAAAGTTAAGGAAAAAATAAAT